CCGCTGCAGGGACCACCTCGCACTTGCCCGGCCCCGTGCTGAGGTTGAGGCCGACTGCTGCGAGCTCGGCCACGACGAGGTGGAGGAAGCGCGCCACGGCCTGTCTGTCACCCGCCACGCAGCCGTCGTCCAGGTAGAAAAAGACGAGGTCCAGGCCGGCGTCCTGGGCAAGCTCCCTGAGGCTGCGGCTCGCCGTCTCCGCGCAGCGTTGGAGTGCCAGGGAGAAGAGCAGCGGGCCAAGCGGGTCGCCCTGCTGGACACCGCACTCGGAGCGCAGCGTCTGCTTGCCGAGGAAGAGTAGCGATGGGGCTGCCGTAGCACCAGTCCGCCCAAGGTGCCAGTGCGGGAAAGTCCTCGTGCACTGCTCTGAGGACGGCCCTCCGGTCCAGGGCGTTGAAAGCGCTCGAGAGGTCCAACTTCGCGAAAACTTTGTCCCTGTCGCCCAGGTTGCGCGTGAACCTATGCCTGGCCACGTGGATCGCCGCCTCGGCGCCTCCCGGGACGGCCACGCCCACCTGCAAGGGCGCAAGGCGGTCGCGGGCTGCCCCGGCGACCTCCTTGCATGCAGAGGCACTTGCCCACCAGGCGGCGAAGTGTCTCGCCGACGGCCACCGGGCGGAGGCCGCCGTCGTTGTTCGGGAGAGCCACCAGCGAGGCGCCAGCAAAGTAAGCCGCGACCGCCGCCGGAGCCTGGCCGCGCGCGAGCACGTTGACGAGGCCAGCGAGCTGCTCGAATACCTCGTCCCTGTGGGCTGCCGTCGCCAGGGCGTTCTGCAGGTGTTGCGGGCGCAGGCCAGTGGGGCCGGCGGCCGAGCCCTTAGGGAAGGCCCGCACTTCCTTTTGGACGACAGAGACGTCGACCTGGGCTGCGGCGGCCGCGTGGACAGCAGGCAGGCTAACCGGGTCCACAACCGGCTGCTGGCTGCGGGGGTGTTCGCGGCCCATCTGGTCCACGACAGCCGGCGTGACGGACACGGGCGGCTCCGACGTCAGCGAAGCGCAGCTTTTCGAGTAAAGCCCCTCCGAAGCCAAGTCGAGGCAGCGCTGTGCTCGGTGAGTCGCCTTGTCCGTTCCCCCTGTCTGGCGCCGCTCTGTCGTCTCCGCCCGCAGCGTCTGGCGCTCTCCCTCCAGCCAGCGGCGGCAGAGGTTCTTGGCTTCCTCCTCGCTGGCGTTCCGGCTGCCTCGGCCTCCGCGGCTGTGCGGTCGCAGCGCGCACTTGGGCAGCATGGCCAGTTGGACCCAACCTGCTTCGGTGTTGTGGTGGACCGCCAACGCCACGGCCTGCACCAAGCACTGTGCCCACAACGCCCTGGCCCCCCTGGGCACGTGGCGCCCCGTGCCGGCGCGGCTGGAGAAGACCGCCCTCAGCGAAGGGAGCCCTGGCTGGCCGTTCGCGTCGCCAGCGTCGGCCGGAAGGGCCTCGGGGACCGCGGCGGCAGCTGCGCGCGCCGCTGGCCGGCACCTGGGGCGCACTCCCTGGTAGCGGAGACTCAGGAACCGCTGACACACCGAGCATTGGCCGAGGGCGTGCTGGTCAAGGAACTCCTGCGGGACGGGCGGCAGGTTGGGGTAGCGGCCCGCCGCGTGCTCGTTTAAGTGGACCCTCATGCTCTCCTGGCAGGACCACCCTGGCGAGGCGGCAGGATCCGCGCGCGGGCAACCGGGCACTGGGCAGTAGACGCGGGGCCGCCGTCGGGCTGCAGGGCGGGGCGCGGCGGGGGCTGGCTGCGGCGGCTCCGCGGCCGGCGGCGGCGCGGCAGCAGCGGCTGGCTCCGCAGCGTGCCAGGCCCCCCCCTCTGCCGGCATGGCCAGAGGCTGCTGGGCGCCCGAGGGGGCCGCTCCTTCCAGCGCTGCTCGCCGACGTTGCTCGGCCAGCGGCGCGCCCACATCCTGGTCCATGTCTCGCGTGTCGTCCAGGCGCATGCTGTTGATTCGCTCGTGGAGGAGGGGGTCGTCGCCGGGCTCATCGCCTTCCGTGCGGTTGCGTCTGAGCGCGCGGCGTCCCGGAGAAGCACGGGCGCCGACCTCCACGAAGGTGTTCCTGACCGACACCGCGGCCTCCGTCTCCATCTGCGCGGGGCCCGCACTCGATGCACTTGCCGACCCAGGCGGCGGCGCCACTCGTCGAGGCGAGGTGGAGCGGTCGCGCTCCGGAGGTCCTGTTCGATTCCCTGCTCCTCGGCGGCAGATGCAGCGCTGGCGCTCGAAGAGGCACGTGTCGCACACGTCGGCATTGGGGCCTGCGGGGAAAGCTGGGGACTGCACGGCGTGGACGAGCAAGGCAACGCGTCCTACCCACGCCGCTGGCGAAGACAAATGTGTGGAATACCATCCTGGGCTCAATGCAACTGTCATAATTGTCGCGATGGAAATGCACGCAACCCGTGGAAAATGGACATCGCCAAATAGAGCGGCGCCGCAAACTCCGGCCAGGACGCGCTGCAGAGGAGCCCCGTGCACCGCCGCCCCGAAGGCCAAGAATTTCACTGGGACTGCGGACGCGCAGGAGGCCGCCAGGACCAAGGCTGGGTCGACCGCGCGGGGGATCGTCTAGCCCAGGGTGGCGTGAAAGGACTCGGCCAAGCACGCGCTGGCGAACGCATGAGAGGCCCACCCGAGAGCGGCGACGAGCAGTCCAGGCAAAGGGTGCACGAGACAGTAAGCGCCGTCGATCGTCATCGAAAGGACCGGCCAAAACATGCGGTAGATCTTCTTCAACGGGATCGCGACCGCCGCCGGCGCCTCTGGCCATGCAGCCAGGGGCATGGCGTCGCCGAGGGGGCTAGCCGCCGTGCAAGAGGCCCCTGAAGCGCTGGCGGCGCAGCTGCGGAGGTGGGAGTGGAAGTACAGCTCCGCCGGCGACGTGCGCGTCGCCTCCGGGCCAGGCGGGGCTGACACAGCGCCTACGCCCAAGCGCGGGATGTCGGGCGCCATCAGGTTGAAGTCGGCCGGGGCACAGGTCCGCGTGCACCACCGAGATGGGCCAGGCAGCGGCCCCCGCGCGGCGACGTCGCCGTCCGAGGCGTGCGGCGCAGGCGAACGGCGGGCAGGCCCCAGGCGTGAAGGCAGGCAGGCTCCGACGCCGTCCGATGGTACTGATGGCAGCGTGGGCGCAGGCGTGAATATCGACATCGGTGCTGACGTCGATGGGGAAGTCGCTGGCGGTGGTGCTGGCATGGGCGCTGGCGCCGGTGACAGCGCAGGCCCAGAAGTTGATGCTGGCGTCAGTGCTGGTGTAGGCGATGGCATTGGTGGCAGCGTAGGCGCCGGCGTGAATGTTGACGTCGGTGCTGACGTCGATGGGGAAGTCGCTGGCGGTGGTGCTGGCGTAGGCGCCAAGATTGGCGCAGGCGCCAGTGCTCGAGATGGCGCTGGCGTTGGTGCTGGCGTAGGCGCTGGCGTTGGTGCTGACGTCGGAGTTGGCGACGGTGTTCGTGCTGGCGTAGGCGCTGGCGTTGGTGCTGACGTCGGTGTTGGCGACGGTGTTCGTGCTGGCGTAGGCGCAGGCGTTGGTTCTGACGTCGTTGCTGGTGCAGGCGCCATGGTAGGCGCTGGCGTCGGCGCAAGCCTTGGTCCTGGAGTCGGTGCTGGTGTACGCGCAAGTGTTGGTGCATGAGTAGGCGTTGGCGCTGGTGCTGGCCAAGGCGCCCGCTTTGGTGCTGGCGTCGGTGATGGCGTCGGGGCTGCTGTGGGCGTCGGCGCTGGTGCCGGCGTAGGCGCACGCGTTGGTGCTGGAGACGGTGCTGCTGTAGGTGTTGGCGTCGGCGCCGGAGTGGGCGCCAATGTCGGTGCTGGCGTCGGTGATGGCGACAGCGCTGATGCAGGCGCTGACGTTGGTGCCGGCTTAGGCGCAGGAGCTGGTGCTGAAGTCGGCGCCGATGAGGGCGTTGGCGTAGGCGCAGGCGTTGGAACAGAGTCGCCACTTTCGAGTGCTGCTGGGGTCCTACGCGGACTCAGACTAGACCTTGCCATCCCTGGTGGGCTGCGGGCGTTCGGCTCTCGCACTAAGAAGTGCAGGAAGGGGGCAGAAAAGCTGGCGGACGAGCTAGGTCTCGCTCGTTTCTTGCACTAGCTATGAACAGAAATGATCCTGTGGAACGCTACGGCGATATGGCGCAGGCAGCGCTGCATGTTTAGCCAGCTACTGAAAACAGCGGGACTTTTCTGCTTCCTCCCGCCACTATCATCGTCACCCTAATCCCCCTGTCACCTTCTCCATGTTGCTGCTGTCGCGATGGCTCCCCGCCCCCACAATCCCGTCACTCTCCTGCCCGTTGTTCCGGCCCCTATGCTTCTTCGAGCCCGGGGCCCCGATCCTCGTCCGTGTGATTGCTGTCCTGTGAGTCGCGCAACGTTGCGCATCCCATGTTGCTTGCACAACAAATCGCCGCGCCTGCACTGTCGTTTCTCCTGCTGATATTGGCCTACTCCTCTTGCCACTTGTGCAAATGAGCTCGGTACGTCGCAGGGCAGGCAATCGAGTCTTGTTCTCCGCGGGGCGATTTATTGAATAGAGGATGCAGGACACAGAGGTGGACAATGAGTAGCAATAGCAGGCCGTAAGGCAGTGGAAGAGGAGGAAAGGAGAGGGAGAAGATCGAGCAGCAGGAGCAGCAACGGGAGGACGATGCGGAGCAGGAGGCAGACGTGATAGAGGATCCGTAGCAGGGCGGGGGTGAGCTGGGGGCTTCTCCCTCCTCCCTCCTCCCTCCTCCCTCCTCCTCCTCCTCCTCCTCCTCCCTCCTCCTCCTCCTCCTCCTCCTCCTCCTCCTCCTCCTCCTCCTCCTCCTCCTCCTCCTCTCCTCCACCTCCCCTCCTCCTCCTCCTCCTCCTCCTCCTCCTCTCCTCCTCCTCCTCCTCCTCCTCCTCCCCTCCCCCTCCCCCTCCCCCTCCTGCTCCTCTCCTCCTCCTCCTCCTCCTCCTCCTCCTCCTCCTCCTCCTCCTCCCCTCCTCCTACTCCTCCTCCTCCTCCTCCTCCTCCTCCTCCTCCACCCGAGAAGGAGTTGTCGGGCAGCGGGCAGCCGAGAAGGCCGCCTCCGGCCGCCGCGGACGAAGCATATCTTCGAAGTCTTGCGCTTCGCGCTGCGCGGGGGCGCGCGGCTGCCTCCGCTCACCGGCGCCGCCCTGCCCGGACGGCGGGGTGCGAAGCAATCTTACCTTCGCGAAGCTGCGCAAGATCAGGCAGGGCTCACACTGAGGAGGAGGAGGAGGAGGAGGAGGAGGAGGAGGCGGAGGCGGAGGCGGAGGCGGCGGAGGAGGAGGAGGAGGAGGAGGAGGAGGCCAGGCATCCAACACCACCAGGACTCCAGCAGGGACGTCTCTCGGCCTGCGGTGGGAGGCACCGTCGTCGACCAAGCATATGGAGCACAACATCGCCGCGTGAAGGCATGGCGATGGTGGCAAACGTTTCCCTGTCTGTTTTGTTCTTGCTTCAGATCGGGTGTTGCTAAAGTGCCCCTGGCCCAAGGTGCCCCCATCTTTTCGCTCCCTGTTTGAGCCCCTGGGGACCTCTGGGCCTCGTGAGGGGTGCCCTGGAGGCCATCTGGGCCACCCCGAGAATCCTGGGGGTACCTTGGGCCAGGGGTACTTCTAGCAACACCCGGTGTCAGAGCGCAAGGCTCTGGATCCATGGGCCGGGCCGTTCGGACGGACAGCGCGACCCGCGTGCCGTCTGCCTGCGGGCCCAGGCTCGGAGAGAAAGCTGGCCGTCCAGGATGTGGGGGAACGGGAAGGCATCGATCGGGCTGGGCCTGTCCCCCTGCAGGAGGAGAATCTGGGGCGAGAAATGAAAACTACCCAAAAACATTCTCCCCAAATCCCGTAAACATAATCAAAAGTAGTCCCTGGAGTATTTCCTTGACTATGTTTGAATATTCCTCCTGCAGGGGGACAGGCCCGACCTCAGTTAACGGTCTCGCCGCTCCACGGAGCTCTCCGGGGTGCGTTCCGACCAGAATGAAGCCAGCCATGGCGACGAGGGCCTCCCAGGAGGCCCAGAGAAGCAATCACGAGGGAAGGGCACTGCGGTATCGATACCGCCTCATCAGTGGATGCCCCACTCGGCACCGCTCGGACGCCCGCCCCCCCCTGCGCTCGTCGGCTCCCTGCGCGCGCCTCTTCTTCTGCGCGGCATATGACCCCACAGGGTGCTCCTCTCGCCCCTGCCGATAGGGAGAGATAGAGAGAGAGAGGGCGCAGACGCCCGAGCGATGCCAAGCCCGGGGCGCCAGACATCCAGCTGTCCCTCGCGGAGGAGGACGAGGAGGAGGAGGAGGAGGAGGAGGAGGAGGAGAAGGAGGAGAAGGAGGAGGAGGAGGAGGAGGAGGAGGAGGAGGAGGAGGAGGAGGGGGAGGAGGAGGGGGGGGAGGCGGAGGAGGAGGAGGAGGAGGAGGAGGAGGAGGAGGAGGAGGACGAGGAGCCGCACTCAGGTCATGAACATGCGCGCGTCCAGGAGGCCGTGGGCCGCGTGCGCGCAGTCCACGAGCGGGGCGCAGCCGGCCGCCCCGTCCAGGGGCGCCTCCAGCAGCGCCTCCACCTGCGGGGGGGGGGGGGGGCTCGCCTCGGGCGCCTCGCCCCCTCGCCTCCGCTCCTCCTCCTCCTCCTCCTCCTCCTCCTCCTCCTCCCTCCTCCTCCTCCTCTCCTCCTCCTCCTCCCTCCTCCTCCTCCCTCCTCCCTCCTCCCTCCTCCTCCTCCCTCCTCCTCCTCCTCTCCTCCCTCCTCCTCCTCCTCCTCCTCCTCCTCCCTCCTCCTCCTCCTCCTCCTCCTCCTCCTCCTCCTCCTCCTCCTCCTCCTCCTCCTCCTCCTCCCGCCTCGCCCTCGCCCTCGCCCTCGCCTCCGCCTCCGCCTCCGCCTCCTCCTGCGAGCGCCGTGGGCAAGGATGAGCTCGGGCGTGGGTCAGTTGAGAAGCCCTGAAGGGGCCCTGGGACGCAGACACACAAATAAATAGACACAAATCACAGGGTTCCCCGTATTTTCCTGTATTTTCTTGGATTTCGTGTTCCCCCCCACTTCCCGAATTTTCCTATATTTTCCAGCGAATCGACGATTAATTGTGTCTGTGTGTTTTTCTCCTCCTGAATCTCTGGGATCTGGCGGCTCTGGAGGATGCCTCGGGCGCCGCGGCCTTCTCAGAAGGTTCCGGAACGCTCTGAGAACGTTCCAGAACGCTCCGTGACGGATGTAATTATCCTCGTCCCAGCCCCGGCCGACCCTTGCCCAGTCGCAGTGAAGTTCGAGGCCGCCGCCAAGGCTAATGCATGGCGGCCGAGGGCTGATTTAAGGCAGACGCAGACGATGCGAGCGCTGGTGCTCCCAAGGTCCCAGGAGTTCGGCGGTGGCGCGAGGCGGACGCCGAAACGCAGCAGAGGCCCAGACGAGAGCTGCGGCGACCTGTGCAGCAGCGCGTGGCGTGAGGCCTACGCAGCAGAAGCGCGAGGTGCAATATCCCAACGAATCCGCTTTTCGTGGGCCCCATATCCCGCAGGGTTCGGTTCATGTTTGGTATCTTTGCTAGCGGGCGTGACGGCCGGGCCGAGGTGCGATCGCTGTTGACATGAAGCGACCTCTTCGGGGTCTCCTGGGGTGTAGAACTTCTCCCCCCTTATGTTCCTCCTACGAGATTCCAGACTGCAGACTTGACCCTGGGGGACTGGCCACTCTTGCACTTGCAACTGTGGCTCCGCTGTCACATGCGCATGCCAGCCTCGACCTTCCGGTGCCTCTGACAGTGGGGCACTGCTGCCCACGAGGAGAACGGCGCCGGCCACCCCCCTGCTGACAGTGGCGCCCCACTGCCAGATTTAGATCGGGCGTGTCCTCCTACAGGCGAGCTTTGGACGAAACATCCATAACAGTCAAATTACCCCAGTGCGACCCTACCTAGAAGTTGGAGCCCCTAGGAAAGCAGCATTAGTTGCTATGCTATGCTATGCTATGTCATGCTATGCTATGCTATAGTATGCTATACTATGCTGTGCTATGCTATGCTATGCTATGCTATGCTATGCTATGCTGCGCTATGCGATGCTAAGCTATGCTAAGCTATGCCATATCATGCTGCGCTGTGCTATGCTACGCTATACTATGCTATGCTAATATGCGCTATGATATGCTATGACGTGCTATGCTATGCTGTGCTGCGCTATGCTATGCTATGCTCTGCTATGCTATGTTATGCTATGCTCTGCTATGCTATGCTATGCTGCGCTGTGCTATGCTATGCTGTGCTGTGCTGCGCTATGCTGTGCTATGCTATGCTATGCTGCGCTATGCTATGCTATGCTGGGCTATGCTATGATATGCTGTGCTGCGCTATGCTATGCTACGCTATGCTATGCTGTGATGTGCTCTGTTATGTTAACGCTCAGCGAAGCTAAGATGATGGTAAGCTAGCTAAGATACACCTGAGCTCAGATGAAGCTAAGCTAAGCTAAGATGACATAAGCTAAGCTAAGATGAGATAAGCAACGCTAAGCTAAGGGGACGTAACTGGGGGAACCGCGGGGCGGATACTGGGGGAACCGCCCGGGGCGCGTTCCACTGCCCGGCCGTTTAAGCACACCGAGTAAGAACCCTTCTAGGCAGAGCCTAGGTAGGGAAAAAAACATAAATCGTAGACAAATTGTCCCCAGACTGTCTTTTTACTATTTTTGAATTTTCCTCCTGTCGAGGGACACGCCCGATTTCATGCCAGCTGGACGTTCCCGCCCCAGCCAGCAGGAGCCTCCTCACAGTGGGGCCCCACTGCCAACACAGAGAGCTCATCCCCCACTTTGCCAGTGGGGCGCGCGCGCACCCGTTCAGCCGTCCCGGGCCCCGGTTTTGAGGGGCCGATTTTCCACCACCACCACCACCATGGGTAGGAGAGGTGGGAGGAGGAGGAGGAGGAGGAGGAGGAGGAGGAGGAGGAGGAGAAGGAGAAGCAGGAGGAGGAGGAGGTACTGTAGCCAAGACCAATCGTGCATTACATACTAAAACAACGATCACCGGTCAGCATTATGACGACGTGTGAAAATGCGCGTGCGGAGGGGGGGGGGGGCAACTTGCGCGCCTGGCGCGTGCGCGCGGGGCGGGGGCCAACGTGCTACACTGGCGCGCGCGCGCGGGGCACCTCTTTTCACGAGCCCACGGCCCCCACAAGGAAGGGGGAGGCCCAACTTGGGCGCGTCGGATTCTTTACGCATGAAAGCGAAAGTGCGCGGAAGGGGGGGGGGGCAGCATGCGCCGAGCGCGTGCGCGCTTGGTGCATCTCTTCACGCGTCCACGGCCCCTAGGGGGGAGGGATCCAATTTGGTCGCGTCGGATTTTTCACGCGTGCACAGGCGCCGCCGTGCAGGGGGGAGACGACGATGGGAGGAAGGCATGCAGAGATAGGAATATGATGACGAGGAGGAGGAAGGAGGGAGGAGGAAGGAGGAGAAAGGAGGACGAGCAGGAGGAGGAGGAGGAGAGGGAGGAGGAGGAGGAGGAGAAGGAGGAGGTGGAGGTGGAGCAGGAGCAGGAGCAGGAGCAGGAGAAGGAGGAGGAGGAGGAGGAGGAGGAGGACCAGGAGGAAGACCAGGAGGAGGCGGAGGACGACGGCGACGACGAGCAGGTGGAGGACGCGGCGCCTCAGGGGCCAGCTCGAGCAGCATGCCCGCCTGCAGGGGGCGGAGCTGTCCAGCGGGCATGGGTGGAGGTGGACGAGGAGGAGGAGGAGGAGGAGGAGGAGGAGGAGGAGAAGGAGCAGGGAGGAGGAGGAGGAGGAGGAGGAGGAGGAGGAGGAGGAGGAGGAGGAGGAGGGGAGGAGGAGGGGAAGGAGGGGGGGGGCTCCGAAGCCCCCCTGGGAGCGGAGGTGCCCACCCCTCTCGGCGCCGTGGAGAGGCGGTACCACCCCTGGCGCGAGGCGCCGAAAGGGGGGGTTCCCCTGGTGGTGTGGTGCAGCCGTGCCAAGCTGCAGTCGACCCGTACGATAAGGGTGCGCGGCAAGGACGCAAGGGCCCTGGCAGGCCACGCTGACGTTCTCGTCGAACGAGGCCGGCCAGCGAAAGTCCCAAAGGGACTGGCCAGGGGGGCAAGGGTGCAAGGGCAGCCTTGGAAGATCGCTCATCGTTCCTGTGCGGGTTGACTGCAGCATGGGGGAGGCGGGCGCTGAAGGAAGCGGGTCCTGGACCCCAGGAACTTGAAGGAGGAGGAGGAGGAGGACAGGGAGGAGAAGGAGGAGGAGGAGGAGGAGGAGGAGGAGGAGGAGGAGGAGGAAGAGGGTTCCCCAGGACCGTTTCTTCATCCGGGTCGTTGTCTGACGGTCCCCGGGCCCGTGGAGGACCCCGAGGAGCCCGAAAGCGGCGACAAACCTCGGGATCCCTCTCCCTCGGGACCCGTTTGAAGGGGCCCCAGGACACACAAATAAATACACACAAACTAAAGTATTCCCCCTATTTTCCTGCATTTTGGGTTTTTTTTGTCTTCCCCCCCACTTCCCATATTTTCCCATATTTTCTGGGGAATCGGCGATTCATTGTGTCTGTGTGTGTTTTTTCCCCTCCTGACCGTTGCCCCCATGGCGACCGAGGACAGAGGAGCAGCCTTCGAGAGCGTGAGGCCGTCCGCCGGCCGAGACGCCCCAGGCCATGAGCTCACCGATGACACCCGTCCCCGAGGACGCACGAGCACACACGATCAGCAACACCACGAAAACATCGGGAAAGCCCTCCCCGAGCCGACCTCGATCTCATACTCTGGCCTGGCCGTGCCGCTCCCCTCCATCGAGAGCCCCCACATCCCCGGCTCGGGGAGGCCCTGTGCACCTCCTCTCGCTGAACGTGGCATCCCTGCCGCTGGTGGCGGCGTCGCTCTCCTTCCCCTCGACTCTGAGCGCCGACTGCCTCCCCCGGGGGCCTCTTGGAGGCCGTGGTGCCTCCGAAGGGGGCGGGTGGCTGCCTGCATTGGCTGTCTGACTGCTCTTGGAGGCCCTGGGGCCTCCGAGGGTTGACTTGGGGGAGGGAGGAGGAGGAGGAGGAGGAGGAGGAGGAGGAGGAGGAGGAGGAGGAGGAGGAGGAGGAGAAGGAGGCAGGGGGAAGAGGGGGCGGGAAGAGGGGAGAGAGGGAGGGCGAGCGACGGATGCAGGCGCGGAAGCAGGACACCCCCGGAGCAGGGGCGAGCTGGCAGCAGCCAAAGAGAAGACGAGAGCGGAGGGAGAGGCGGACGAGCAGGCGGACGAGCGGAACGATCGGGAGCGGCATTGGCAGCGGCATCGGCAGCAGTACGACGAGGATGACGGAAGCAGCACGCGCCCGCCTGAAGGTCAACCGCCCGCAAGGGCCCCAGCAAGTTCAGCCGCACCGCCGCGGAAACGGAGTCACGCACTGCGCAATAGGCGAAAGCGCTCGCCAGGGGAAAGCGTGCGCCGGCCCAGAGCTGCCTCTCTGGCCTCCCGCCCTACCCTCCTCCTCCTCCTCCTCCTCACCCTCCTCCTCCTCCTCCTCCTCCTCCTCCTCCAAAGCGTCATCCCTTTCCGAGGCTGGCCAAAACATTGTTGGCAAACCTTTGCCCCCGAACCATTGATGGACCGTTCGTTTTGGGCATTTATCCCCTGAACCGAGCGGCCGATGACAAGGCCCTCGGGGGCCTGGGAGTTCGCGAACAAATGGTTCCGACCCGCTGATGAACCGTCTGCGAACATCCGAACACGGCCCTTTGTTGTTCACTCTGCTGGACACATGATAGGCCACGCGCTGATCCTCTTGCCATCAGCGTGCGCCTCCTGCTGCTTCTCCTATATACCTCCACTGCGTCTCCCCCACTGGTCCTCCTGCTCGTCCTCCTCATCCGTTCCGCCCGTCGCTTCTTGTGTTTCTTCCCCCTTCCTCTCCGCTGGAAGAAGACGGGGGAGGGGGGAAATGAGGGCGGGAAAGGCGAAAGGGGGAGGGGGGAGGAGAGGAGGCAGACGGGGGATGGGGGGAAAGGAGGACGGGAGTAGGAGTAGTAGGAGGAGGAGGAGGAGGAGGAGGAGGAGGAGGAGGAGGAGCAGGGCAGAGCACACATCCCTCCTCCTGCTCTCCATCCCCATCCCCGTCCCCCATCTCCCCCCATCAATGCCACCCCCTTCCTCGAAGCGTCGGGGCGGTTCGTTGGAGGAGGGGATGGGGGGACGTAGGAAGGGAGAGACAGAGAGAGAGAGAGAGACAGAGAGAGTGATAATGACTACTGAAAAACTTGGCTGGCAACGCAATATACTTACATCGATAAGAGCGAGGACTCTCGAGAGGTGGATGGGAACGGGAGAGATACCTCCACCGCAGCCCGCGGCGTGATCTTTGGAACCTGCTGCCAGATATTCCCACGGGGCGCAGGGGAAAAAACTAGCGACTGTTGCGTCGGAGGATCGCGCCGCATCGCCAATGCATCTCCAATGCATCGGCGATGTATCGGCGATGCATCGCCGACGTCGGCGACGCATCGGAGATCCTGGCGTGGAGAAAATCGAGCTCCACATCGAGCCGCATCGCCGATGCATCGGCGATGCGATCCTCCGACCCCATCTACTCAGACCCCATCTAGGAGGCCTCTATCCGCGGGGCCGCTGGAGCCCGGGCGGCACCTGGGCCAGATCCCAAGTCTTGCCGCTGCGCGCATGCCCGCCAGCCCATTCAGAAACAGATCGCCAGGCGAATTGCCTCGATCGAGGAAATGTAGATGGGGAAACCAAGAGCTACCGATATCGCTACTCCGCAGACCTCTCCTGGGGTGCGTTCTCTTAATTCCGTCTTTACCGCCCACTAGCGTCGATGAGCGTGTGGGAGTCGATGAGATAGCGTCTGTTTAGTGTTGGTTAGTCGGTTAGCGTCGAGTAGCGTCGACTTAGCATCGATTTAGCGTCGATGAACATCGAGCAGCGTAGATTCGCAAGAGCCGACAAGATGGTATGGGAGGCTCCAGCGGTGGCGCCGAGGGCCTCCCAGGAGGCCCCCCCCCCAAAAAGGCGAACACGAGGGTCGGGGCACGGGCACCCTCTCCTCCTCTGCGCAGAAGCATGCAGCGCAACGACCGCCCAGGAAGCGCTTTGCCGGAGTGGCGTCTCCGAGCCATCTCGGGGCTCTCTTGCGGGAGAGCCCAGCATCGAATCGATCGATCAGATCCGCAATCGACATGAACCGGATCGGTGGAAATCGACCGCCTAGTCGGGAAAAGTCGAGTCGGCGGACGTCGAGAGGCTTGTGTGCGTCCAACAAGAGATCGGAACCCAAATCGGAATCCCGAGCCGAATCGAATCGCAATCGGAAGCCATTGAGATCGAACGCGAATCGAATCGAAGGAGTCGAAACGAGCCCTGCCCTTGGGGCCCTCGCGGGGCCTCCTCGCCGAGCCGCCACGGGGCAGACACCCTCGGGCGCACGGGGGGGGCCCCCTTGGGGCTCTCTTGGGGGCTCTCTTGGGGGCTCTCTTGGGGCGCTCCTGGGGCTCCACCTGGCCCTCTTGGAGGAGGCGGAGGAGGAGGCGGAGGAGGAGGAGGCGGCGGAGGAGGAGGCGGAGGCGGAGACGGAGGCGGAGGCGGAGGAGGAGGCGGAGGAGGAGGAGAAGGAGTAGGAGGAGGAGGAGGAGGAGGAGGACGAGTTCTTGGGGCCCTCTCGGGGCTTCTTGGGGGGGGGGGCGGGGGTCTGGGAGGCCTCTTGCCTGGGGCTGCCCTGGGGGCCCCTGGCTGCAGCGATGCCGCCCAGGAAGCGCCGGAGGGGGCGCGGGGAAGGCCCCGCGCCCCCCCCTGGCGCCGAGGCGCAGCGCGGCGCCCGCGCCCGCGGGCCGCTCCCGCCCGCGGGCCGCGCAGCCCCGGCCTCGCGCTGCCTGCGGCCGGCGGGGCGGCGACGCCGACGCCGACGACGCCGACGACGACGACGACGCCGACGCCGACGCCGACGACGACGACGACGCCGACGCCGACGGCGGCGGCGGCGGCGACGACGACGCCGACGACGACGACGACGACGCCGACGCCGGCGCCGACGGCGGCGGCGGCGACGACGACGGCGACGACGCCGACGACGAGAACGACGACGATGACGACGACGACGCCGACGACGACGCCGACGCCGACGCCGACGCCGACGACGACAACGGCGTATCGGACTCCAACGGGCGGGACGGCTTCAGACAGGGGGGCGACAACGACGACGGAGACAGTCGGCGGCGAGCCTGGGGGGACACAGAAAACTTCTCAGAGGGCGCGTGGGCTTCTGGGAAGGCCCGCCGCCTTTTGAGAAGGCTGCCTTCCCCCCCTTCGCTCGTCGCCGAGGGGCGAAAACGACGACGGCGACAACAGGGAGGGATAGGAGGAAGAGGATGGCGAAGACAAGAATGGAGAAACACAAGAAGAGGGACAAGAAGACGAGCTGTTTCGTGGGCCCTGGCTTCCACGAGGTGGGACATCGAGCACCAGGGCACGACGGGATGAGCCAGCACGACTTGGACATCAGCGATTAAGACGGGCAGTGTGAAAGGCACTGTCGCCAGTGACCAGCGATGCGGGAACCAGCATGACGACGTTTGAGCAGCAACACGACTCGGCATACTTCCACAAAGCACGTTCACCAAAAGTGCAAGCAATACCAGCAAAACCAGCACTGCCACTACCACTGCCGCTAACACCACCACCACCACCATCACTAACACGACCCACGACCAGCACTGCAACTACTATCCATCACCACCACCACCACCGACTCCTGGGGGAACGTGATGCTGTGCTACACAGACGGGGTAGCATGCTGGATAGCACGCGGGAGGTCCTACGGGAGACCATACGGCGGACCACGGTATGTGGAAGGGCTCACACGTGCCCTGGAGCAAAACATGGGGCCCTTTTCAGACAAGCTGTTGAGGGAATGTAGACACTCATCGCGCCCCGAGCAGTGTCTTTGGCCACGGCTCTTCGCATGACCTTGGCCGACGAGGTCAGATCGGCTCGAGTGCCGCGCCTGGCATGCCTGATTATATTATGCTTCTTCACTCTGCTTTGCTGCCCGCGCTGCGATGCGTTAGCACGTTCGCGTTTGTTTTGTTCCTCTCTTTCTCTCTTTCTGTATCTCTATCTCTCCCTATCTCTTTCGTCCTCGTCCTCCTGGCCTCTCTGATGAGCCAATCATGTTCAGCGAAAGTCTCGTGGCAGCTGCTTGCGGCCACGGTGCTATGGCTGTCCCAATGGTTTGGGCGATTCGTCTATCACTGCTGCTTGCGGAAGGAAATACTCCCGTACAGAAGAACAAATTAGCCCAGTGCGACCCGACCTAGGAGTTGGAGCATTTAGGAAAGCAACATCTACATCTACACCGACAGCTACATTTACATCTACACCTGCATCTACATCTACATCAACATCAGCAGCGAGACTCACATCTGCATCTACATCTACACCTACATCTACACCTACATCTGCATCTACATCTACATCTACATCTACACCTACATCCACATCTACACCTACACCTACATCTGCATCTACACCTTCGCATTGGTTTTGCTGCTGCTGTGCATTGCCTTTGCTTTTGCTCTTGCATTTGCTTTTGCCTTTGCCTTTGCTTTTGCTTTTGCTGTTGCTGTTGCTTTTGCTTTGCTGTTGTCTTTGCGTTTGCTTGATTGTGTTTTTGCTTTGCCTGCGCACAAACACACACACACACACACACACACGCATGTTCTCGCATTCGCTCACAGGGTGTGCATGATAATGCTCCGTATCCGGTCTACACCGCACGACTTGGCATTGAGCAAGGTAAGCTAAGCCAAGCTAAACCCAGCTAAGCTAAGCTAAGGTAAGCTAAACTAAGATGATATAAGCTAAGCTGAGCTGAGATAAGTTAAGCTGAACTAAGCTACAGCTAAAGCTAAGCTCAGCTAAGCTAAGCTAGGCTAGGCGAGGCAAAGCTAAGCTAAGCTAAGCTAAGATGAGATAAGCTAAGCTAAGCTAAGCTAAGCTAAGCTAAACAAAGCTAAGCTAAGTTAAGCTAAGCTTAGCTAAGTTAAGCTGGGTGAACCCAGGGGGCGCAACTGGGGGAACCGCGGGGCGGATACTGGGGGAACCGCCCGGGGCGCTTTCCACTGCCCGGCCCCTTAAATCCAAGAGAGTAAGAACCCTTCTAGGCAGTGCCTAGGTAGGGAATGAGGACGGGATGGCAAGGATGGGAGGCGGGAGGGGGATGGGGGATAACTGCGAGACGGAGAAGGGAGGAACGACGGGAGAGGGTGAGGTGAGGCGAGAAACACGAAATCCGCAAACCCCTTAGGGGATTATCTAGCGTGTGAGATACTCGTCCC